CCAAACATGGTAAAATGCGATGAAAAGGCCACCAAAGCATTTAGAACATTACAGGAGGCTCTCTGCTGTAATCCAATCCAGTGCTGGTGGTACCAGACTTTGAGCGTGACTTCGTGGTTCACACGGATGCCTCAGAGGTCGGGTTCGGAGCCGTGCTCTCCCAGATGTAGAAGGGGTGGAACACCTCATCCTGTTTTTAAGCAGGAAGCTGGAACCACGGGAAGCCAACTACTCAGTCATTGAGAAAGAGGCGCTGGCAGTAAAGTGGGCTCTAGAAACCCTGAAATATTACCTGCTAGGGCGCCACTTCACCCTCATTAGTGACCATGCCCCACTCACCTGGATGCATAGGGCTAAAGAGAAGAACGCTCAGATGATGCAGTGGTTTTTCAGTCTCCAACCGTTTCACTTTGACTTAAAACACAGAGCAGGGAAGGAAATGGGAAATATGGATGGGTTATCCCGCATGCACGCCTATTTTGCTGCTGTAGCCCGACCTAGGGGGTCGAAGCTAGGGGGGGAGATGTGTGGCAAAGAAGGGGGCAGTTAAATGGCAGATATGTGAGGGCAGAACTAATAAACGGGCTCTGCCCTCTCACCAAAATGGCCACCCCGACAAGAACTACAGATCCCAAAATGTCAGACCGCCAAAACCTACAATCCACCAGAAGCAAGGGGAACGCTCGCAAGGTGGGGCAGACCCACATATAAGGGGTCAAGACAAACCAGGAAGAGGGAGAGAGAGCAAGGGGCTGTGGATCTGTGAACCACGGAGAAAGAGAACGGTGACAATATATATCGGCTGGATTTACCATGTATGACCTGGACTGTTTGTACTTACCTTTTGGCTGTTGGACCTGGACCTACCGAGAACCCGATTTGTGTACCGAATCCTGATATCCTCGACCAAGCCTGTGGCCTGGGCAAACCAGGATGGAGAAACCAACATTCAGGTACTGTCCTGTTCGAAATAACTCTCTCTGGGGTGATTTTGGTGACGGTCTCCCGCTTAATTTGTGTACAAACTCTCCTAACCTTGAAGAGGATTGTCACAATATATTTGAGTGGGAAAATGATATGTACAGCAGAATATATATTATATTAGAATGAGCTATGTCAAGAACACAGTATATTGATAAATGAGGTGTGAACTAAAATGCAATGTACAGTAGTAGAAATATTACAATGAGCTATGTTGAGAATCCAGTATATAAATACACAGTAGAAACCCCATAGCAAAATGGATAGGATTGCATGAAATGAGCCTAGAATATAAATAATATATATGTATATGATGGTGTGTATAGACAGTATGGACAGAATGTGAATAGAAAAGGTGTTTACAGCAGTAGTTATATAGGATGAGCCATGACTAGAATACAGTATATACACATGAAGTGAGTAAAACAGTATGTAAACATTTTTAAAGTGACCAGTGTTCAATGACTCTATTTACATAGGGCAGCAGTCTCTAAGGTGCAGGGTAGAGTTTTTATTTTATTTATTTATTTATTTCACCTTTATTTAACCAGGTAAGCCAGTTGAGAACAAGTTCTCATTTACAACTGCGACCTGGCCAAGATAAAGCAAAGCAGTGCGATAAAAACAACAACACAGATTTACATATGGGGTAAAACAAAACATACAGTCAAAAATACAACAGAAAATATATATACAGTGTGTGCAAATGTAGCAAGTTATGGAGGTAAGGCAATAAATAGGCTATAGTGCAAAATAATTACAATTAGTATTAACACTGGAATGATAGAGATGATGTGCAAATAGAGATACTGGGGTGCAAATGAGCAAAATAAATAACAATATGGGGATGAGGTAGTTGGGTGGGCAAATTTCAGATGGGCTGTGTACAGGTGCAGTGATCGGTAAGGTGCTCTGACAACTGATGCTTAAAGTTAGTGAGGGAGATAAGAGTCTCCAGCTTCAGAGATTTTTGCAATTCTTTCCAGTCATTGGCAGCAGAGAACTGGAAGGAATGGCGGCCAAAGGAGGTGTTGGCTTTGGGGATGACCAGTGAGATATACCTGCTGGAGTGCACTTGTCATCTCCCGTCTGGATTACTGCAACTCGCTGTTGGCTGGGCTCCCTGCCTGTGCCATTAAACCCCTACAACTCATCCAGAATGCCGCAGCCCGTCTGGTGTTCAACCTTCCCAAGTTCTCTCACGTCACCCCGCTCCTCCGCACACTCCACTGGCTTCCAGTTGAAGCTCGCATCTGCTACAAGACCATGGTGCTTGCCTACGGAGCTGTGAGGGGAACGGCACCTCCGTACCTTCAGGCTCTGATCAGTCCCTACACCCAAACGAGGGCATTGCGTTCATCCACCTCTGGCCTGCTGGCCCCCCTACCTCTGCGGAAGCACAGTTCCCGCTCAGCCCAGTCAAAACTGTTCGCTGCTCTGGCACCCCAATGGTGGAACAAGCTCCCTCACGACGCCAGGAAAGCGGAGTCACTCACCACCTTCCGGAGACACTTGAAACCCCACCTCTTTAAGGAATACCTGGGATAGGATAAAGTAATCCTTCTACCCCCCCTTACCCCACCCCACCCCCCCACCAAAAAAAAACATGTTGTAAAGTGGTTATCCCACTGGCTATAAGGTGAATGCACCAATTTGTAAGTCGCTCTGGATAAGAGCGTCTGCTAAATGACGTAAATGTAAATGAGTGCATACTACGGGTGGGTGTTGCTATGGTGACCAATGAGCTAAGATAAGGCGGGGATTTGCCTAGCAGTGATTTATAGATGGCCTGGAGCCAGTGGGTTTGGCGACGAATATGTAGTGAGGACCAGCCAACAAGAGCGTTCAGGTCACAGTGGTGGGTAGTATATGGGGCTTTGGTGACAAAACGGATGGCACTGTGATAGACAACATCCAATTTGAGTAGAGTGTTGGAGGCTATTTTGTAAATGACATCGCCGAAGTCAAGGATCGGTAGGATAGTCAGTTTTACGAGGACATGTTTGGCAGCATGAGTGAAGGAGGCTTTGTTGCGAAATAGGAAGCCGATTCTAGATTTAAGAGTACCGGGTGGTGGCCGGCTAGTGACAGTGTCTGACGTTCAGGGCAGGGTACTGGGCGGAGGCCAGCTAGTGGTGACTGTTCCACTGTCTGATGGCTTGGCTATAGAAGCTGTTTATCAGTCTCTTGGTCCCAGCTTTGATGCACCTGTACTGTCTCAACCTTCTAGATGGTAACGGGGTGAACAGGACCATTTCAGGTCGTCAGTGATCTGCACGCCAAGGAACTTTTGACCCTCTCCACTGCGGCCCCGTCGATGTGGACGGGGGCGTGCTCTCTCTCTGCTGTCTCCTGTAGTCCACAATCAGCTCCTTGGTTTTGTTGACGTTGAGGTTATTTTCCTGGCTCCACTCTGCCAAGGCAGTCACCTCCTCCCTGTAGGCTGTCTCGTAATAGTTGGTAGTTAGGCCTACCACTGTTGTGTCATCACTGTTGTGTAGCCAGCTCTCCTGGGGGCTATGACCACTCTCTTTCTCCTTCCCATTGAGGAGCAATGACGCACTAGATAAAACACTGGCCTGGCTTGTTTTTAGAGTTTAAATTGGAATATACTTTTGTAAAATCAAAAGGTAGCCTATTTGGTGTTTCTGTGTGTGGGTGTGTATGTGGGGCGAGGGAGGGGGAAGGGGGCAAAAAAGACAGCAAGAGATAACGAAAAAACTATTACAGCAGCCATACAAAGAAAACTGCATAATGATTGGTTGGATCACACACTTTGCCACAGCACCTCTTCTCTGATGTGACAGCCTCCATTTTGGATTGTTTTGGCTGAGGTGAGCCAGGCAGGCAGACAAGCACTCGATGGCACTTGATACGCGCTGCGCCGCCCGCCTAGCTAACATTATTTATCTCTGTGGGCCCTGGTCAAAAGCAGTGCACTATATAGGGAATAGGGGGGCATTTGGGACACAAACCAGTTATCGCAGTAATCAAACCTCTAATTAAACCAGAGGCTAAGATAGTCACATTCAAACGCTTGCTGTGGGAGCAGGAGCTTAATGTGCTCCATGTTAGGAAAGACCCAGGGACTGATCCAATCAACTCCCATTAAATGAACTCCCATCCCCTTTCTGAAGGGAGGAAGCGACTGTTAGCTAGTGTGCTATCCCAGCATTAGCCTGGATCTCACACCTTTTGGAAGAAGGAAAATAATGATAGCTAATAGCTGACGTTAGCCTGGGACGCACACCTTTTGAAGGGGATCAAGAGAGAATGCAAGCTAGCGTTAGCCTGGATCGCACACCTTTCGAAGGGGATCAAGAGAGAATGCAAGCTAGTGTTAGCCTGGATCTCACACCTTTTGGAAGAAGGAAAATAAATGATAGCTAATAGCTGACGTTAGCCTAGGACGCACACCTTTTGAAGGGGATCAAGAGAGAATGCAAGCTAGCGTTAGCCTGGATCGCACACCTTTCGAAGGGGATCAAGAGAGAATGCAAGCTAGCGTAAGCATGGATTGCACACCTTTTGAAGGGGATCAAGAGAGAATGCAAGCTAGCGTTAGCCTGGGACGCACACGTTTTGAAGGGGATCAAGAGAGAATGCAAGCTAGCGTAAGCCTGGATTGCACACCTTTTGAAGGGGATCAAGAGAGAATGCAAGCTAGCGTTAGCCTGGATCGCACACCATTTGAAGGGGATCAAGAGAGAATGCAAGCTAGCGTTAGCCTGGGACGCACACCTTTTGAAGGGGATCAAGAGAATGCAAGCTAGCGTTAGCCTGGATCGTACACCATTTGAAGGGGATCAAGAGAGAATGCAAGCTAGCGTTAGCCTGGGACGCACACCTTTTGAAGGGGATCAAGAGAGAATGCAAGCTAGCGTAAGGCTGGATCGCACACCTTTTGAAGGGGAGAAGACAGAAGAGAATGATATAGTGTTAGCCTAGCGTTAGCCTAGCGTTAGCCTGGGATCTTACACATCATTAGCACAGCAGATATGGTGTTCTAGCTATACAGGTTATATACTCACAGTACACAGGGCCTCAAACTCTTTGTCGGACACCAAGGCACCGTCCAGGCCGAAGAGGAAGATGGAGGAGTAGGAAAGCATTCCACCCAGGATGATAAGGTTGTTCATGTAGGGACTGGACATCTTGATCAGTCTGTAGGAGGAGAGGAGAGGAGAGGAGAGGAGAGGAGAGGAGAGGAGAGGAGAGGAGAGGAGAGGAGAGGAGAGGAGAGGAGAGGAGAGGAGAGGAGAGGAGAGGAGAGGAGAGGAGAGAGGAGAGATACACAGAGTTCAAAAATTGAAAAACGCAGAAGGACCATTTTAACATTGAAACATGTTTTTATATTACAATGCAGTCACAGCAGCGGAGCGAATTGGGGGAACAGAGTTCCAAAAGTGAACATTCAGATGGGACATTTTTGACATTTAAACATGTTTTTGTCTTGGTGAATTCCCACTTCCCGAGGTGTGCATTTTCCCAGTTCCGTTCCAAGTAAAAGGGAGTGAATATAGCTTTTCTAAATGACATACTTAATACATTTCACACCTAACAGGAGCACGTCAGATAACAACTTGTATTTGCTCAGGGGTGTGTTCATTAGTGAGCACCGTAGCAAAACATTACGAAAATGAGTTTATTATTGGACAAGTTCAAGTATGTCCCCCACCCCTTTTCTGCCCGTTTGGTTCCTAGTGAATACACCCCAGGATGTCTGTACATTACAGTTCACTTAGGACAGCATGTCCCAAACCATTGTGTAACTCACAACTCAACTGTACATCAAATCAATAGGTAATCAAATCTGTCTGTAAATGCAAGGCGAGGGGATATCGGCAACACCCCATCTATATAGGGCCCTGGTGCTGCAGAATCAGGTATAGTGTAATGCCGGGGTCCCAATACACACCATGTCTGTAAACCATGTTCCTTTTTTCCATCTTGTGTTATTCATTGTACAGTGAGGGAAAAAAGTATTTGATCCCCTGCTGATTTTGTATGTTTGCCCACTGAAAAAGAAATGATCTGTCTATAATTTTAATGGTAGGTTTATTTGAACAGTGAGAGACAGAATAACAACAAAAAAATCCAGAAAAACGCATGTCAAAAATGTTATAAATTGATTTGCATTTTAATGAGGGAAATAAGTATTTGACCTCTCTGCAAAACATGACTTAGTACTTGGTGGCAAAACCCTTGTTGGCAATCACAGAGGTCAGACGTTTCTTGTAGTTGGCCACCAGGTTTGCATACATCTCAGGAGGGATTTTGTCCCACTCTTTGCGGATCTTCTCCAAGTCATTAGGTTTCGAGGCTGACGTTTGGCAACTCGAACCTTCAGTTCCCTCCACAGATTTTCTATGGGATTAAGGTCTGGAGACTGGCTAGGCCACTCCAAGACCTTAATGTGCTTCTTCTTGAGACACTCCTTTGTTGCCTTGGCCCTGTGTTTTGGGTCATTGTCATGCTGGAATACCCATCCACGACCCATTTTCAATGCCCTGGCTGAGGGAAGGAGGTTCTCACCCAAGATTTGACAGTACATGGCCTCGTCCATCGTCCCTTTGATGCGGTGAAGTTGTCCTGTCCCCTTAGCAGAAAAACACCCCCAAAGCATAATGTTTCCACCGCCATGTTTGACGGTGGGGATGGTGTTCTTGGGGTCATAGGCAGTATTCCTCCTCCTCCAAACACGGCGAGTTGAGTTGATGCCAAAGACCTCCATTTTGGTCTCATCTGACCACAACACTTTCACCCAGTTCTCCTCTGAATCATTCAGATGTTCATTGGCAAACTTCAGACGGGCCTGTATATGTGCTTTCTTGAGCAGGGGGACCTTGCGGGCGCTGCAGGATTTCAGTCCTTCACAGCGTAGTGTGTTACCAATTGTTTTCTTGGTGACTATGGTCCCAGCTGCCTTGAGATCATTGACAAGATCCTTCCGTGTAGTTCTGGGCTGATTCCTCACCGTTCTCATGATCATTGCAACTCCTCGAGGTGAGATCTTGCATGGAGCCCCAGGCCGAGGGAGATTGACAGTTCTTTTGTGTTTCTTCCATTTGCGAATAATCGCACCAACTGTTGTCACCTTCTCACCAAGCTGCTTGGCGATGGTCTTGTAGCCCATTCCAGCCTTGTGTAGGTCTACAATCTTGTCCCTGACATCCTTGGAGAGCTCTTTGGTCTTGGCCATGGTGGAGAGTTTGGAATCTGATTGATTGATTGCTTCTGTGGACAGGTGTCTTTTATACAGGTAACAAGCTGAGATTAGGAGCACTCCCTTTAAGAGTGTGCTCCTAATCTCAGCTCGTTACCTGTATAAAAGACACCTGGGAGCCAGAAATCTTTCTGATTGAGAGGGGGTCAAATACTTATTTCCCTCATTAAAATGCAAATCAATTTATAACATTTTTGACATGCGTTTTTCTGGATTTTTTTGTTGTTATTCTGTCTCTCACTGTTCAAATAAACCTACCATTAAAATTATAGACTGATCATTTCTTTATCAGTTGGCAAACGTACAAAATCAGCAGGGGATCAAATACTTTTTTCCCTCACTGTATCTACAATCAAGTTGATTCATATTACGTTCTAGGGGATATGTCCTTGTCTATAGGCTGCATCTCTAGGGACATTTGCAGAGATTTGCTGTACTCTGAGAGCAGTTTTAGTAGCTGTTTTAATAAAACCCTCACAAACTTTTACAGATGCACAATTGAGAGCATCCTGTCGGGCTGTATCACTGCCTGGTACGGCAACTGCACCGCCCGCAACCGCAGGGTTCTCCAGAGGGTGGTGCGGTCTGCCGAACGCATTACCGGGGGCAAACTATCCGCCCTCCAAGACACCTACAGCACCCGATGTCACAGGAAGGCCAAAAAGATAATCAAGGACATCAACCACCCAAGCCACTGCCAGTTCACCTCGCTATCATCCAGATGGCGAGGTCAGTACAGGTGCATCAAAGCTGGGACCGAGAGAATGAAAAACAGCTTCTATCTCAAGGCCATCAGACTGTTAAATAGCCATCACTAGCACATTAGAGGCTGCTGCTGCCTATTGAAATCACTGGCCACTTTAAGAAATGGAACAATAGTCACTTTAATAATGTTTACATTTCTTGCACTTCTCATCTCATATGTATATACTGTATTCTATTCTATAATATTCTTCTGTATCTTAGTCCATGCCGCTCTGTCATTGCTCGTCCATATATGTATATATTCTTAATTCAATTCCTTACTTAGATGTGTGTGTATTGGGTATATGTTGTGAAATTGTTAGATATTACTTGTTAGATATTACTGCACTGTCGGAGCTAGAAGCACAAGCATTTCACTACAACCGCAATAACATTTATTTTTATTCATTTTTTTACCTTTATTTAACCAGGTAAGCCAGTTGAGAACAAGTTCTCATTTATGACTGCGACCTGGCCAAGATAAAGCAAAGCAGTGCGATAAAAACAACAACAACAACACAGAGTTACACATGGGATAAACAAAAACATACAGTCAATAACACAATATAAAATCTATATACAGTGTGTGCAAATGTAGTAAGTTATGGAGGAAAGGCAATAAATAGGCCATAGTGCAAAATAATTACAATTTAGTATTAACACTGGAGTGATAGATGTGCAGAAGATGATGTGCAAATAGAGATACTGGGGTGCAAATGAGCAAAATAAATAACAATATGGGGATGAGGTAGTTGGGTGGGCTAATTACAGATGGGCTGTGTACAGGTGCAGTGATCGGTAAGCTGCTCTGACAACTGATGCTTAAAGTTAGTGAGGGAGATAAGAGTCTCCAGCTTCAGAGATTTTTTCAGTTCATTCCAGTCATTGGCAGCAGAGAACTGGAAGGAATGGCGACCAAAGGAGGTGTTGGCTTTGGGGATGACCAGTGAGATATACCTGCTGGAGCGCATACTACGGTGGGTGTTGCTATGGTGACCAATGAGCTAAGATAAGGCGGGATTTGCCTAGCAGTGATTTATAGATGACCTGGAGCCAGTGGGTTTGGCAACGAATATGTAGTGAGGGCCAGCCAACGAGAGCGTACAGGTCACAATGGTGGGTAGTATATGGGGCTTTGGTGACAAAACGGATGGCACTGTGATAGACTACATCCAATTTGCTGAGTAGAGTGTTGGAGGCTATTTTGTAAATGACATCGCCGAAGTCAAGGATCGGTAGGATAGTCAGTTTTACGAGGGCATGTTTGGCAGCATGAGTGAAGGAGGCTTTGTTGCGAAATAGGAAGCCAATTCTAGATTTAACTTTGGATTGGAGATGCTTAATGTGAGTCTGGAAGGAGAGTTTACGGTCTAACTAGACACCTAGGTATTTGTAGTTGTCCACAAATTCTAAGTCAGACCTGCCGAGAGTAGTGATTCTAGTCGGGCGGGCGGGTGCAAGCAGCGTTCGATTGAAGAGCATGCATTTAGTTTTACTAGAGTTTAAGAGCAGTTGGAGGCTATGTGGGGGTAGATCAGCTTAATATTGCAGATAGATTGTAACTTCCATCAATGTAATTGTCTGCATCACTTCCAATCCCCCATGTTTTTTTTTTATATATATACACACATACATACACATATACATATACACACATACATACATACACATACATATCCTTAAAAAAAATATATATTCCCCTTTATTACTGTTTGGAGGTTTGTTAACACAGTCTCCAATGAAGGGCCAGATGTATACAAAATGGTGTCGTCTGTGTAGAGGTGGATCTGAGAGTCACCAGCAGCAAGAGCGACATCATTGATATACACGGATGAAAGAGTCGGCCCGAGAATTGAACCCTGTGGCACCCCCATAGAGACTACCAGAGGTCCAGACAACAGGCCCTCCGATTTGACACATTGAACTCTTTCTGAGAAGTAGTTGGTGAACCAGGTGAGGTAGTCATTTGAGAAACCAAGGCTATTTAGTCTGCCAATAAGAATGAGGTGATTGACAGAGTCGAAAGCCTTGGCCAGGTCGATGAAGACAGTTGCACAGTACTGTCTTTTATCGATCGCGGTTATAATATCGTTTAGGACCTTGAGCGTGGCTGAGGTGCACAAGCTCCCTCACGACGCCAGGACAGCGGAGTCACTCACCACCTTCCGGAGACATTTGAAACTCCACCTCTTTAAGGAATACCTGGGATAGGATAAAGTAATCCTAAATAAAATACATTGTAAAGTGGTTATCCCACTGGCTATAAGGTGAATGCACCAATTTGTAAGTCGCTCTGGATAAGAGCGTCTGCTAAATGACGTAAATGTAAATGTAAATGTGCACCCATGACCAGCTCGGAAACCAGATTGCATAGCGGAGAAGGTACGGTGGGATTCGAAATGGTCGATGATCTGTTTGTTAACTTGGCTTTCAAATACTTTCGAAGGGCAGGATGGATTTAGGTCGGTAACAGTTTGGATCTAGAGTGTCACCCCCTTTGAAGAGGGGGATGACAGCGGCAGCTTTCCAATCTCTGGGGATCTCAGATGATACGAAAGAGAGGTTGAACAGGCTAGTAATAGGGGTTGCTATAATTTTGGCGGCTAATTTTAGAAAGAAAGGGTCCAGATTGTCTAGCCCAGCTGATTTGTATGGGTCCAGATTTTGCAGCTCTTTCAGAACATCAGCTATCTGAATTTGGGTGAAGGAGAAGCGAGGGTGGCATGGGTAAGTTGCAGCGGAGGGTGCAGAGCTGGTGGCCTGGGTAGGGGTAGCCAGGTGGAAAGAATGGCTGGTCGCTTGTTGAAATTCTCGATTATCGTAGATTTATCGGTGGTGACAGTGTTTCCTAGCTTCAGTGCAGTGGGCAGCTGGGAGGAGGTGCTCTTATTCTCCATGGACTTTACAGTGTCCCAAAACTTTTTGGAGTTAGTGCTACAGGATGCAAATTTCTGTTTGAAAAAGCTAGCCTTTGCTTTCCTAACTGATTGTGTATATTGGTTCCTGACTTCCCTGAAAAGTTGCATATCGCGGGGGTTGTTCGATGCTAATGCAGTACGCCACAGGATGTTTTTGTGCTGGTCAAGGCAGTCAATTCTGGGGTGAACCAGGGGCTATATCTGTTCTTAGTTCTGAATTTTCTGAATGGGGCATGCTTATTTAAGATGGAGAGGAAAGCACTTTTAAAGAACAACCAGGCATCCTCTACAGACGGAATGAGGTCAATATCCATCCAGGATACCTGGGCCAGGTCAATTAGAAAGGCCTGCTCGCTGAAGTGTTTTAGGGAGCGTTTGACAGTGATGAGGGGTGGTCGTTTGACTGCGGATCCATTACGGACGCAGGCAATGAGGCAGTGATTGTTGAGATCCTGTTTGAAGACAGCAGAGGTGTATTTAGAGGGTACATTTGTCAGGATGATATCTATGAGGGTGCCCATGTTTACGGATTTAGGGTTGTACCTGGTAGGTTCCTTGATAATTTGTGTGAGATTGAGGGCATCTAGTTTAGATTGTATGACGGCTGGGGTGTTAAGCATATCCCAGTTTAGGTCACCAAGTAGTACGAACTCTGAGGATAGATGGGGGGCAATCAATTCACATATGGTGTCCAGGGCACAGCTGGGGGCTGAGGGGGGTCTGTAGCATGCGGCAGCAGTGATAGACTTATTTCTGGAAAGGTGGATTTTTAGAAGTAGAAGCTCAAACTGTTTGGGTACAGACCTGGATAGTATGATAGAGCTCTGCAGGCTATCTCTACAGTAGATTGCAACTCCGCCTCCTTTGGCAGTTCTATCTAGACAGAACATTTTGTAGTTGGGGATGGAAATTTCAGAGTTTTTGGTGGCCTTCCTAAGCCAGGATTCAGACACTGCTAGAACATCAGGGTTGGCGGAGTGTGCTAACGCAGTGAATAATTCAAACTTAGGGAGGAGGCTTCTGATGTTAACATGCAAGAAACCAAGGCTTTTACGGTTACAGAAGTCAACAAATGATAGCTCCTGGGGAGTAGGAGTGATACTGGGGGCTACAGGGCCTGGGTTAACGTCTACATCACCAGAGGAACTAGCCGGTGCCCCCGCACATTGACTCTGCACCGGTACCCCCCTGTATATATAGCCTCCCTACTGTTATTTTATTTTACTTCTGCTCTTTTTTTTTTCTCACCACTTTTTTTGTTGTTTTATTTTTATAAATGCACTGTTGGTTAAGGGCTGTAAGTATGCATTTCACTGTAATGTCTGCACCTGTTGTATTCGGCGCATGTGACCAATAAAATGTGATTTGATTTGATTTGAACAGAGGAGGAGTAGAATAAGGATATGGCTAAAGGCTTTAAGAACTGGTCTTCTAGTGCGTTGGGTACAGAGATTAAAAGGGGCAGATTTCCGGACGTTGTAGAATAGATTCAGGGCATTATGTACAGACAAGGATATGGAAGGATATGAGTACAGTGGAGGTAAACCTAAGCGTTGGGTAACGATGAAAGAGATAGCATCACTGGAGGCACCGATTGAGCCGGTCTCCGCGTGTATGGGGGGTGGGACAAAGGAGCTATCTGAGGCAGGTTGAGCATGACTAGGGGCTCTTCAGTGAAATTGCATAATAAGAACTAACCGAAACAGCAATAGGCAAAGCATATTGACATGGGAGAGAGGCATAAAGCAATCACAGGTGTTATTCGAGAGAGCTAAGACAACAACTGGTAATGGCAACGAAAGTTTGGGCTGAGGCTAAACAGATAAACAGGACAGATGAACAGGATGGGGTACCGTGTAAAGGAACGGTCCAGCAAGCATCAGCTGTGTAGCTGAGTGATCATAATGTCCAGTGAACAGCAATAGGTGAGTCCGGGAGCATTTCGATGGCTGCTACGGCACAGGCGAGCAGGAGGCATGAATGTTGATTGCGTGTGCTAGCGGGCCGTGGCTAGCAGATGGATCTTCGTGTTCGTCGCAATGGGAAGCCTGTTGAAACCACATCAGACGATTACGTCGGCAGACCAGTCGTGATGGATCGGCGGGGCTGCGTGTCGACACTAGGAGGTCCCGTCCGGTTGACAGAGAGGTAGATAGCCGGGAGATGGGCCTGGCTCGAGGCTAGCTCAAGGTTAACTGGTGCTTGTTTTGGGACAGTGGTGATTAGCCAACAACAACATCCATTCGGTTGCAGCTAGCTAGTTGCGATGATCCGGTTTTAAGGTCCAGTGATTCAGTGATTCCGGAAGAAAATCCGATATGTTCTGGGTCGATAGCGCGCTGTGCAGACTGTGCAGACTGGCCGATAATTGTCCAGGCTAGAGCTGGCTGGTAGGTAGTGCAGGCCACGGACAATGGTGAAAACCACTAATGGTGGCTAATAGCAAGTAGCTAGTTAGCTGGCTAGTTTCAGCCGGAGGTTCTAGATAACAAGGTATAAGAAATAATAGAATCCGTTCCACATTGGGTGAGGCGGGTTGCAGGAAAGTATATTTAGTTGAAGGATGAAAAGTGAGATTGAGAAATATATACGAAAAAGACAAAACACAAAAAACAGGCTATTTACACGAGCACACGACCACACTGCTACGCCATCTTGGATAATACATCTTGGATAATACATCTGCTACATTTTTAAATTTTAGTCATTTAGCAGACGCTCTTATCCAGAGCGACTTACAGTTAGTGAGTGCATACATTTTTTTCATACTGGCCCCCCGTGGGAAACGAACCCACAACCCTGGCGTTGCAAGCACCATGCTCTACCAACTGAGCTACACGGGGCTAAACACGTGTATGTGACAAACTAACTACATTTGATTTCATTTGGGTGCTACACATTGGTGGTGGGGGGGATGAGGTGAGCCCCCCCCCACCACCTTCCTATTGCTATTACATGGTCATATCCTACAGTCATACATTATACATTATTATACATTAACATACAATATATTGTCAGTATATTGTCCCATAAAATCTGTAATCGTAACTTTTTTATGTGGCGACCCCACTGCAATTCCCCCGCAACCCCAGTAGGGGTCCCGACCCCGACTTTGAATACCACTGGTGTAGGATGAAGTTGACCCTAGACACTGACCTTGGGTCAGTTTTAGCTTTCCCCCAGTAATGGTTAAAGACATGCTCCGGAACTTTGGTAACTGCTAAGTATTTTTTAAACCTCCCGCTTTGGGCTGGATGTGTCAATGTGTAGTTCATACATTCAGAATCTATCAGCAGAATTACTGTTTTACCTCAATTAGCCACAAAATCCCTAGTTTGAAAGCGACTGTTTTTCTGGAAGCTGCGCTGCGCTATTTTCCCTACATTTCCCCCCACGTGAGCTAACCCCCTAGCAATTTGAGTTCTAGCCAATGAGCTTCAGCCCCTCGCCATTTGAGTGACAGCTAGCAAGGTGCACAACAGCAGAGCGAGAGACAGAGCAATGATGTGGTGCACATACAGTATCTGCACATATATGATGTAGTACCCAGTTTTTGGAGACCACTTTTTGCTCGTGAGCGCTACTTTCACAAACTCTGGCTAAAAAGTATACAAAAGTACTGGTGAATCTCTTTAACATATGATTGGGGGAGGGGAAGCGAATCCTAGATTTGTACCGAGAAGAAACTTCCCCCCAGAGCTCTACTAGTCTAGCTAGCACTAGTCCACCAAACTCCAAGTCTTCCTGACTCCGTAGTCTGGAAAGGCTCCTTGATATTGTCAGCACAATGCGTTGAAAATGAAGGGGGCTGTACTTTTGATTGGTTCTCCTCTGTGTCTTTCTCACTCAGACACCAACATCGACAACCACACGCAGCCCCCGAGCGCCGCCCACTTCCAATACAACTGTTGGATTTTCTAATCCAAACAACGTGAGGTCTCAGACTCTCAACTCCCCAGGAAAGAAAACAACGTTTGAGAGAACCAATCAAAGCTCATTTCTGTGTGAATACTGCATTTACAATTTGACTCCTGTCCAGACCAGTGAGTCACAGCTCTCCCTTGCTGTGTACCACATGAGTAGCGTCAGCCAGGCTAGAGCTCGACCCCATCCTCCCCTCATTCCCCTCCCTCTTCCACTGACCTGTGGTTGCGGTTCTTGATGTTGAAGAAGAGGAAGGCCCCTGCCATGAGCATGCCCAGGATGGTGATAACAGACAGGATGCTGTAGAGGGGTACGTTGATGTTGCGACGCTGCAGACGTACAAACGTACGGTCCTTAGGAGGCTCCACTCCTGGAATGAAGAGGAGGAAGACATTTGCCATATAAAAATTATTCTAATAATGACTTCTACAGGTGAAGGATAGACAAACAAAATGAGACCTCACCAGTATTTTACGTTGAAAAACAACTCCACAAGAAGGGGGAAAGGAAAATAACTTGATTTGGAGGATCCACTCCTGAATGAAGAGGAGGACATTCACAGACCAACTAGCAAAAAAACTGGTTGAATCAATGTTGTTTCCACGTCATTTCAACAACATAAAAAATAATATGATGACGTTGAATCAACATGGAAAACTGATTGGATTTGCAAAAAGTCATCAATGTAAGGGAATTCCGTATTTTTTCCTAAATCCAATAACAGTGACATTTTTTGTTGAATTCATGTTAGTTGGCAACTCAACCAAATGTACAGTGGCTGACTAAATACTTTTTTCCCCCACTGTAAATCAAAACTAGACGTTGAACTAACGTCTGTGCCTAGTGGGGATTTTCTTAGCGTGAGAAATGTACAATAATTAACAATAATTATTTTGATTTTAAGTGTGTCCACTTGTCCAGTGACTTTGATTCTACAGTACGTAAAGTACTGGACACTTCTACAGTAGAAGGATAGATCCTAAATTAACCATCATTAGGCTACTTGACATTGGAAAACGCCTCAATTTGGCTACATTCAGCTGTGTAAATGTACCTCCATAGAGAATCAGTTGTTGTGGTCAGCGACCGCTGTTTCTTATGTTTGCCCTTTCCTTTATCCGTCCTCTCCGTGTCTTTGCCAATCGATTTCAACGTCTCATCTTACTGAGCTCTCTTATGGTGGTTCGACACATAGAAACAATTGTTTTAGCTGTCCCAGAGTGTGTGTATATGGGACAACAGGGAGGGAGGGGAGGGGAGGGGGAGGGTTGTAGTAATCATCAGGAATTGAACCAATTACAAGGAATGTCAACACCAGAAAACATGGCTTAATAAAAATGCTGGTAAATAATTCAACACAGGATGATTGGTTGAGAGGAGTATACTGGATGCCCTGTGTGTACGTGCACACACACACACACACACACACACACACACACACACACACACACACACACACACACACACACACACACACACACACACATACACACACACACATACACACACGCACACACACACACACACACACACAACGCACGCACACACACACACACACACACACACACACACACACATACAATCTCATGTGTAAGTACCTTGGAACCTCATGGTGTTGTTGATGAGGTCCAGGACATCAGCGATAGCGTTGTACTCTCCAACCTTAACCTCCTGCCCCTCTGTTAGGAACACAAACAGGAAAGAGTTAGGACAGCATGTGGACAACACATTGGACAACTTTCTCTTTCAGTCCACTAGACTGTTCTCGCAGAATTTAAAATTGCAGCGATCTGACCCAAAATAACTAACATTTCAAATAGATAAGACAGCTCTAAATCCAAAACGAATGAGGAATATTGCAGTGTGAGGTCTCATTTACAGCTTGTGTCTTTTAGCTAAGTGTGCAAAACAGTGATTGGATCAAGCTAACAGAGTAATGGCACTGGGTTAATGTTTGTGATACAGATTGGTTTAATGGTTAGCAACAGTAACGCACTGGGGTGTATTCGTTTGCACACACTGTAGAAAACAGTAGCGAAACGTTTTGCAATGAAAATGAGTGTTTCTTATTGGACAAGTTCAGGTTAGTCCCTCTCCATTTTAGCCCGTTTTCTTCCGTTTGTTTCCTAGTGAATACACTCCGCTTTGTACTATACATACATACATTACCGGAGAGCAAGTCTCCAGTAAAGAAGCCAATCGCAAAATGAAAGCAACAATAAATAAAAACAATTGTACGCTGGCATTTGTAATGCAATACATTGGCATTTTCACAGATACATTAAAATGAGTCTAAATTGTGATATAGCCTGAGCCATAACACAAACCTCTTTCTCCTGAGTGCTATTTAAACCTGCCATTTCCTTCAAGAAAAATCTTAAAAGCTGATACAGGGCTGTACGGCACGAGTGCACCTAAGTTAAAAAAAATTCACACAAAGAAATGTAGAAGCACAATGAAAAAATATTTGAGATATTAAAGCTAGAATCTTACATTTTTCTAGGCGCACTGGTGCTCCTAAATTAAAATTCCAGGTCGCACAGCAAAATATTGAGGCGCATATGCGAGTAAAATGATCGCACTGTAGAACCCTGTGATATTGGTCCCACGTGTGTAATACAGGCTCTGTATTGACCCTTTCACACACACCAGCTCCATCACTCTCTTTCTCATAAAAATGGGTGAACAGTTACTCAACACACAGGGGGAGGAGGGAGATAAGGGGAGAAAACTCTCTCTCTCTCTCTCTCATCCAAAACTCTCTCTCCTCTCTCTCACTCTCTCGCCTCTCGATAAAGAGGTCGCGCTCTCCCTGTCTCTCTCTTCTCTCTCTTAGTCTCTGCTCATCTCTCCTCTCTCTCTATCTCGTCTCATCTCTCTTTCGCACTCCTCTCTCTCTTCTCTCTCTCCTCTCTCTCATAAGTTTATATAGATTTACAGTGTGAGGATTGAGAACAGATAAACATAAGCGCTACACAATTACGACTACTACGTCCCTGAGCTGTTGCTGTTAAGTTAGGGCAAACCCTTCACCCAACTTCTGAAATGACATTTCACGCCTGTTTGTTCAATTACCTCCTTTGTTACTGTAAATCAGATGCCGATTTAAGCCTGATCCCAGATCTGTTTGGCATGACAACCATAGGAGGGCGGCATTACAGCACAAACAGATCTGGGATCAGTGCATTTCTGTTAATCACATTCAGATTTATGAACCCAGAGGTTCCAGACACAGAGGTGCTGATACACTAGCCTGATCCCAGAACTGTTTGGCCATAGGAGTTGGCAAGACAGCACAAACAGATCTGGGACCAGGCTAATGATGCACTGTTTCTGCTGCCCATGCATAACAGGGTGACTTCCGTCCCTGTCTACCTGACCTGGGTTGCAATTCTTAGAATCCTCTGCACAACATCACCATAGTGATGCTAACTGTTTTAGCCATCTCCTGCACACACCCCAGCTTGTGACCCAAATGGCACCCTATTCTCTATATAGTACACTACTATTGACCAAGGCCCATAGGAAACAGGATACCATTTGGGATGCAGACATGCTATCCAGGGTTAGTCTCTACAGCTGCCCCAAATCAAGCTGCCCCAAATCAAACCTACGTCATCCTACCATCTCAGCACTCTATTGCAGGAGATGACAGAATGTGAATTTCATTCAATAATGAATGAACCTTTATATAGCTTTAAACTTAGGGGGAAACACCTTCACATCTCGCTACTAAACCATAAGAAATTATTTGAATATTGATGCATTCGGCTTTCTTACACTGCACCCTCAGCCCTGTTCTGTGGTTAAGGTCCTCTTAGGTACAGATCTAGGATCAGCTTCCCCTCCCCCAATCCTAACCTTAACCATTAGTGAGGAAAATGCAAAGCTGACCCAGGTACCAGGTGACTTTATGTAAGGTGATCTGTAGGCTGATAGGTTGAGGGGGGATGTAGGGTGAAGTTGACCCTAGACGCTGATCTTGGGTAAGCATTGCATTTTCTCCACTAATGATTACAGTTAGGGTTGGGGGAGGGGAAGCTGATCCTAGATCTGTACCTAAGGGGAACTTCACCACAGAGCGGGGCAGAGGGTGAAAGACAGGCTCTGACAGTCCGATCCTTCAGAAGGGGAATGAGTGAGCTGTTCCCACACTGCATGAGGACAGATGGCAGGGTTGAGGAGAGAATCAGATCCTGGTTAAATATTCAGCCAGGGCAATCCCTCCTCTCTCTCTTTCCACTCCTACTCTCTCTCTCTCTCGCTCTCTCTTCACTTTTCCACTCTCTCCTCTTTCTCTCTGCTCTCTCTCACTCTCTCTCTCTTTCTCTTCATCTCGTGTGTCAAACAGTCGTCACACACTCCCTGAGAAGCCAGGTGGGAGGGAGGGAGAGAAGGAGAGAGAGAGGGAGAGAAGGAGAGAGAGAGAGAGAGAGAGAGAAGAGAGAGAGAGAGGGCATCTGCCGAAGGACAGAGAGAGCATGAGCGAGCACGATCGCTGACGATCATCTTGTCGGACGATAGCGACGAGGGAAGGACCGACTGAGCTAGAGAGAGATAGAGATCGAGGCTCTGGGATTCGAGAGGACGATCTTACGAGAGATAGAAGAATGACGGAGCAGAGGCGTGACTGAGAGAGGATCGAGATCCGCGATGAAGAGAGAGAGGCGCGGTAGTTGGACTAGAGAGAAGAGAGACGAGAGAGAGAGAAGGAGAGGCGATCGAGGAGGCTGAGATGAGAGATGAGAGAGATGATTTCAAGTTTCAGGGAGAGACAGAGGATGAGAGAGAGGAAAAAAGAGATGAGAGGTGGAGGTTGGTGTTCAAATGAGAGGAGGAGGAGGCGAGAGGGAGGGGCGGGAGGGTTATGCCTAAGGCTAGGTACTCATGATGACATTTTCACAGCTCTATAGAGCAACCCCTCTCCAGTTCACTGATGATAGTCTTTGCTTATCCATGATATGACTGCCAGTTGCCTTCCAATTGAAAAGCTCCATCCCTTCCACAACCAAACAGGTCTTCCTGCCCCGAGTGTTTCCACACACACATGCACGCACACAAACACACACACACACACACACACACATACATCACGATTTAAGCTGCCACAGGGGGCACCGCTGCAGTGGGGTAGATAAGATGGGGGAGAACGGATGAATAAAGGCATACTGGTGCTGAGGGAGGGTTGGGCCGGGAGCTGGAGGGATTCCACCAAATACAGATCACATCTCTGGATAGAAAATCCCACCCAGCAGCCCCCTGGTTCACCTGCAGTCAACCACCACTGGCTGGGTAACCCCAGAGTAGGTTTACTATGACATCATCATCAACCAGACAGCAACCAGTCATAATACTAGAGCAATCAACAGAACATCACAACAATGCAACAATCCTACATTATGTGCTTACTGTACCTTGAAACTGTGTGAATTTGATCGTGCCCATCCGCTCTCCATTCCTGAACATGACTTGGCCCTGGATAGAAAAGGAAGGAAAAATTAATTTAGAACATTTTAAAGCATTAAGGACTCAATGAGGAATCACATGTTCAATACAATACACTTGTTGCCTTGTCCATATGACATCATCCACATCAGCTACCACGCTGAAACCGAACATTGTTGGCCCTTGTTTATGCCCAGTCGTAAACTCTAACTTGCTAAACCGTCTGAATTGTTGGCCATCTTCAGAGCGATGGGCTACAGCAAAGGAAGCAGTAGAGATGGAAAATAATCTTGATTTCGTTTGAATTTAGATGCACTGTTTTCTTGACGAGCTGTTAAGTGTTGGCACATTAACAGATTTGAGTGGACTAGCACTGGGTTTCTTATTGGATTAGAAGTTTGCAAAAAATTGATCTGTTTATGCGAAGTAAACAAAATGATTGGTATCCTTTAGAATCCCATGAGGGTCAGCAAAGGGCTGTCTCATTCCATAATGTGACACTTATCACAAATCTTCTTTTAAGGGGCTTTTTTTTTAAAGTAATTTATTAAGTGGAAATATCACCTTTGGCTACTGAACAGACATCATTAGTAAGTCCTACTACCATTAAAACGTCGACATGTCTTTGATGTCAGCCCTAAGTGAAAGCGACTGGAAACTAATGACACTCTCCACATGGATCATCACTGATATTCCAAAAAACAACAATCAAGCCCAAATAAAATCAGCAAATATATTCAGATATTTTCACACAAAAAAAAGTCTGGCAACTAAAACATTACCTTCCCTCCCTTATCCATCCTCATCCATCAAGACTGTTCAATTAATTCGTCCAGCCATCTGCCCATAGAACTCCCTAATTAAACATTTATCTATCTGGGATTACTGGTGGCTATGGAAAAACAGGTGAATGAGAGAGACAGAGAGCGAGAGTTAGCATGGAGCTGATTAAAGCAGCGCTGACAGAGAACTGGGAAGGAAGGCAACCTACTGAAGAGCCAATTTCAGTTCAAAAAGACGCTGAGGCTTTGAAGTCAGTCGCTGGGTCCCCTGATTGGTTCCCTGTCTTTGTATGCATCTGCATCTGCGACGTGACTGAGTGTCTGTCTGTGTGAGCTGGGAGAGCGAGAGCTATCTAAAGCTACTGTCCTCACAGACAGCGGTGCTAAGCTAACAGTGGTGGGATGGAGAGTTAATTGCTGTTGTCTGGCATTTAAGAAGTGACTGAAAGTGTAAGCTCAGAGAGAGAGCTACCTACAGGTAACTGCCAAAATAAAGGAAGCGCTTGAGTAAATGAGGGATACACAGTATATTGAAAGCAGGTGCTTCCACACAGGTGTGGTTCCTGAGTTAATTAAACAATTAACGTCCCATCATGCTTAGGGTCATGTATAAAAATGACCAGTTGCCCACTATTTTGGATACCATGACTAGAAGAAGAGATCTCAGTGACTTTGAAAGAGGGGACTCAAAGGAGCATAGGGTGTTTAATGGGTATGTGTGTGTCTAAGTCACCAGATCTCAACCCAATTGAACCCTTATGGGAGATTCTGGATGAACGGTGTCGCATCCCTCTGATAGAGTTCCAGACACTTGTAGAATCTATGCCAAAGCGCATTGAAGCTGTTCTGGCAGTTCGTGGTGGCCCAACGCCCTATTTAGAGACTTTATGTTGGTCTTTCCTTTATTTTGGCAGTTACCTGTAGCTAGGCTTGACACTGCTGATAATACAGCCTTCGCCTCAGTGCTATATGCTAACAGTGGTGAGATGGAGCTTAAACAAAGTGCACTGGGTCAGATGCTGTGACTGTGTAACGGTGGGCTCTGTAACGGTTTTACCTGCCATCAATTTTGTTTAATAAGACGGTGTAAATGTGTTTTTCTGCAGGAGTGTGTATCAAGCGTCTCAAAGTAGGAGTGCTGATCTAGGATCATGTCCCCCCCTGTCCATTTAATCTTATTTATTGTGATCTAAAAGGCTAAACTGATCCTAAATCAGCACTCCTACTATAAGACCTTTGATAAATTAGGCCCATGGCCCTGTTAAGCATGTGACTGTGAGAAGCCGTGCCGAGAGAGAGTATGTTGTAGTTCCCAATCTTTTCCCCACTGTGGGGCTCAGGCTACATGACTGTTGCCAGCTGGATCACCGTGTTTCGCTACCACAAGTCATATTGAGCGATTGCTGACATTCCTGAGCCTGAGACATTGGCCCCTGGTTACGTAAGTGTGTGTGGGAGTGTAGTGCACTTAAGAAACTGTACAAACTGTAGAAATATGTGTGAAAAGTTTGCAGAGCCTGTGGTCTAGTGTCAATTCTCTTCTCCCCATCGGAGACCGGGGTTCAATCCCTGATCCAACCCTTTTGTCTGTTACTTCCACCTGCCTGTGTCCCCAGATGTATTCCCTGTCTAAATAAAGGGTAACCCCCCCCGGATGTTGTATTTCTAATCTGATATAAATATTTCACTAATGACAGATAAATAAAAGAAGAAACAAAATCCTACATTGTTCTCCAGCTCCTGGAGCTCTGATTCAGCTGGAGCAGGGAGGGAAGGAGGCAGGGTGAGTTGACCCAGACTAACAGCCCTCTCTGGGACTCACAGACCCAGCCTGCCCTTGTTGATGAGGGCGCTATAACTGTGTTTGTGGAGGTGAGATGGCGGTATCACTTTGCTACTTTGTTTCTGGAGGTGAGAAAAGGGAGGAAGGGAAGAAGGCAGGATGTTTGCCCCAGAGAGAGGCTCTGGTTGTGGGCTGCAGGTGTGAAAATAGGGAGTTCCCTTGAGGTCTGGAGACAGAAAGCAGAAGCCTGACACAAACACAAACACAGTGACACCTCTCTGTGTCCGCCTGTAAGGACTATCTGCCCTCAGGCTGTGTTACCATTTTAAAAAATCATTTTTCTTTTTTTTAGCAGACGCTCTTATCCAGAGCGACTTACAGTTAGTGAGTGCATACATTTTTATTTAAAAATAATAATAATTCATACTGGCTCCCCGTGGGAATCGAACCCACAACCCTGCCGTTGCAAGCGCCATACTCTACCAACTGAGCTACATGGGGGCCGTAACACGGGGCTCCGTTAGACAGGAGGCACTAAAACCAATACACTGGCCTACGGGCCCTGGTCAAAAGTAGTGCACTACACAGGACATAGGGTGCCATTTGAGACGCAACCACTGTCTGGATAGACAAGAGCCCCTGTCTCTCTGTCTCCTCTGTCTCCTCTCCCCTCCAGGCCATACATGAAGAGAATGAATTCCACTGTACATGTTGATCAGTGCTGCTAACAGCTCCGGCCAAGCCCTGGAGGCTTTTCTGAGCTAATATCTGACTCCTCTATTGCTCTGCCACTAGACTAGATCAATAGCAGGCGGCGCCCAGAGAGCACATCAGACTGCCATGTGGATGGCTGTGTTCTAACCAGACACACACACACACACACACACACAATCAGTGTGTACACACATGCATGCATGCACTCATACATACGTACACACACACATACACTCCCCCCCAACACACTCTAAGCAGACAAGCCCCACTATGTTAAATATGTAGGGGTTAGAAGGGAGGGGAGGAGGGGTGAAAGGAGGCTGAAACCACAGAAAGGAGTGAAGGCTTTGGCTGCTGTATCTATGGGCTCGGTGGTGAAACTGACTGCTGTGTTTGTGTTGTGGTTCACACCAGGGATGTTTAGGCAGCGAGGCGATGGCTCTCCATGTGGGTCTAGTACACGGGTGATGTGTGTGTGTGGAAACGCAGAGCAACGATGGGGTATGGTGTGTGTGTGTGTGTGTTCTTCTTCTCCTGTAATAAAAATACACAGCTATACTCTGACGCTCTATAAAGGCTAATCTGTATACCTATACTCTGACCCTCTATAAAGGCTCATCTGTATACCTATACTCTGATGCTCTATAAAGGCTCATCTGTATAACAATACTCTGATGCTCTATAAAGGCTCATCTGTATAACAATACTCTGACGCTCTATAAAGGCTAATCTGTATACCTATACTCCGACGCTCTATAAAGGCTCATCTGTATACCTATACTCCGACGCTCTATAAAGGCTAATCTGTATACCTATACTCCGATGCTCTATAAAGACTAATCTGTATACCTATACTCCGACGCTCTATAAAGGCTAATCTGTATACCTATACTCCGACGCTCTATAAAGGCTAATCTGTATACCTATACTCCGACGCTCTATAAAGGCTCATCTGTATACCTATACTCCGACGCTCTATAAAGGCTCATCTGTATCTTCTGATCTGATATGCCACTTACTAAGACATGTAGTGTGAGGGTAATTATCCTGACAGGTCAAAAGTAGTGCACTACATACAGCGCCTTGCAAAAGTATTCATCCCCCTTGGTGTTTTTCCTATTTTGTTGCATTACAACCTGTAATTTAAATGGATTTTTATTTGGTATGTAATGGACATACACAAAATGGTCCAAATTGGTGAAGTGAAATTAAGAAAATAACTTGTTTAAAGAAATTCTACAAAAAATTAATAACGGAAAAGTGGTGTGTGCATACAGTATGTATTCACCCCCTTTGCTATGAAGCCCCGAAATAAGATCTGGTGTGACCAATTACCTTCAGAAGTCACATAATTAGTTAAATAAAGTCCACCTGTGTGTAATCTAAGTGTCACGTGATCTGTTACATGATCTCAGTATATACACCTGTTCTGAAAGGCCCCAGAGTCTGCAACACCGCTAAGCAATGGGCACCACCAAGCAAGCAGCACCATGAAGACCAAGCAGCTCTCCAAACAGGTCAGAGACAAAGTTGTGGAGAAGTACAGATCAGGGTTGGGTTCAAAAAAAATATCCAAAACTTTGAACGTCCCACGGAGCACCATTAAATCCATTATTAACAATTGGAAAGAAAATGGCAACACAACAAACCTGCCAAGAGAGGGCCGCCCACCAAAACTCACGGACCAGGCAAGGAGGGCATTCATCAAAGAGGCAACAAAGAGACCAAAGATAACCCTGAAGGAGCTGCAAAGCTCCACAGCGGAGATTGGAGTATCTGTCCATAGGACCACTTTAAGCCGTACACTCCACAGAGCTGGGCTTTACGGAAGAGTGGCCAGAAAAAAGCCATTGCTTAAAGAAAGAAATAAGCAAACATGTTTGGTGTTCGCCAAAAGGCATGTGGGAGACTCCCCAAACATATGGAAGAAGGTACTCTGGTCAGATGAGACTAAAATTGAGCTTTTTGGCCATCAAGGAAAACGCTATGTCTGGCGCAAACCCAACACCTCTCATCACCCCGAGAACACCAATGACCCTAAGCATTCTGCTAAAGCAACACTCAAGTGGATTAAGGGGAAACATTGAAATGTCTTGGAATTGGCTAGTGAAAGCTCAAACCTCAATCCATTTGAGAATCTGTGGTATGACTTAAAGATTTCTTTCCCCCTTGGAACTGGAGCAGTTTTGCCTTGAAGAATGGGCAGAAATCCCAGTGGCTAGATGTGCCAAGCTTATAGAGATATATCCCAAGAGACTTGCAGCTGTAATTGCTGCAAAAGGTGGCTCTACAAAGTATTGACTTTGGGGGGGTGAATAGTTATGCACGCTCAAGTTTTCTTTTCTTTTTTTCTTATTTGTTGTTTGTTTCACAAGAAAAAATATTTTGCATCTTCAAAGTGGTAAGTATGTTGTGTAAATCAAATGATACAACCCCCCCCCCCCCCCCTCCAAAAAAAATAATATATATATATCCATTTTAATTCCAGGTTGTAAGGCAACAAAATAGGAAAAATGCCAAGTGGGAGTGAATACTTTCGCAAGCCACTGTAGATACTAGGCTGCCATTTGGAACGGAACTGACTGTATGTCTCTGTTATTACTGTTATTCATGGCTGGTTCTGTGTAGACTGTACAGAATGTATAAACCGCATCAAGCTTTTTCATCATCTCATTTCATGTACAGTTATCAGATGGATCAAACATCTTGAATACAAATAAGTAATAAATCATTACTGAAATTAATTATAAATTACCGCAGAGTATTCTCCTAAATAGAGCATTTGAAAAATATTTCCTATAGACCTAGAGCAAATGTGATACATTATTTTTTAATACCATTGCTGGGGTATTTTCTGCTCAAATGCAATACAGTGTTCCTTTCTGTGCTGCTTTCTGTGTTGTTTTCTGTGCTGCTTTCTGTGCTGCTTTCTGTGCTGCTTTCTGTGATGCTTTCTGTGCTGCTTTCTGTGTTGCTTTCTGTTTTGCTTTCTGTGTTGCTTTCTGTGATGCTTTCTGTGCTGCTTTCTGTGTTGCTTTCTGTGCTGCTTTCTGTGCTGCTTTCTGAATAGATGGTAATAGTGGTGCTGTATGTTGTCCCACTGGAGACACACACAGGCACACACACACAGACACAGGCACACACATACACGCAGAAACACACACACACACAGACACACACGCAGACACACACACACACACAGACACCTCAGGCAGCCACCCTGGCAGAAGGACCCCAGGGAGATGAGGCTATCTGGGCTATCCATGTCTCCCTCCCTGCCTCTGTCCTCCAGTAGCCTCCAGGGACAGGCTCACTGGCAGCCCACTTCACCCCAGAGAGGCAGAGGGAACTGGGGGGAGAGAGAGGTCACAGTGGGGTGTCAAGGAGAGGCTCAGGAGGACTATGCTGTACTGTAATGCCCCAAGGGAGATCAACCGTTTCCCCACTCTCAATACTGGTTACAACACCATATCTGCCTCTTTCTCCCTTTATCTTTTCAACCATCTCTCCTTCACAATTCATCTTTCCCCCTCTACCTTTTCAACCATCTCTCCTTCACTATTCCTCTTTCCCCCTCTACCCTTTCAACCATCTCTCCTTCAGTATTCCTCTTTTCCCCCTCTACCCTTTCAACCATCTCTCCTTCAGTATTCCTCTTTTCCCCCTCTACCTTTTCAACCATCTCTCCTTCAGTATTCCTCTTTTCCCCCTCTACCTTTTCAACCATCTCTCCTTCACTATTCCTCTTTCTTCCTCTACCTTTTCAACCATCTCATCTTCACAATTCCTCTTTCCCCCTCTACATTTTCAACCATCTCTCCTTCACTATTCCTCTTTCTCCCTCGCTGTTTTCCTGTTCTCTCTTTCGCTTTCCTCTTGCTCTCACGCTTTCTTTTTGCATCTCTATTCCTTTTTTCTCCTCTCTCTATTCCTCCTCTCTTTGTTCCTCCTCTCTTTGTTCCTCTGTCTACCACATCACTCTTCCTCTTGATCCTCCCTCTCCTATCTCTGTCCATCTCTTCACATCCTCAGCCAGCGGCCGTATCCTACACACACACACACGCACACACATGCGCACACACACACGCGCACGCGCGCACACACACACACATCTTCTCTCTCTAATTGTCTTTGAGAAGTAGTTACCAGTCAGACTGATCCGTGGTCTGCTGGAGGCCTCATTTCTCCATTATGTTCTTGGTTTAGAGCCATTAATCATGATGAAAAGGCCTTTACTGTGGTGTGGGCCTGAGGAAATGTCTTGTCACGGTTCCATGCTAAGTGGCACGCTCACAGTAGAGCTTGGTTGCATGTTGTGAAAAGCAAGTTGCTTGTAACGAGCATAGCCAATAAGAACACTGGGATTGTCATAGTGACAGCCCTACCCACCAATAGGAACAGCCCAACCACCAATAGGGACAGCCAACCACCAATAGGGAGAGCCCAAATACCAATGGGGACAGCCCAACCACCAATGGGGACAGCCCAACCACCAATAGGGACAACCCAACCACCAACACTCTGTATTAGGTCTTATAAGGAAATAAGGTCGGTAACGTCTCTAAAATTAACTATTATTTAAAAGTTATGCTTTAAGTGCCCCTTTTGACATTTATTTACTGTATTCATATACATTAATGTGGCTGGTGCCTGGCCTAACAGCTCTCCAGAGTTGAATCAGAGTGTGTGTGTGTGTGTGTGTGTGTGTGTGTGTGTGTGTGTGTGTGTGTGTGTGTGTGTGTGTGTGTGTGTGTGTATGTGTGTGTGTGTGTGTCTATGTGTCTGTGTGTGCACATGCGCTGATGTGTACATCACTCTGTTTGTCCTTGAGAACATGACTGTGTGTGTGTGTGTACACATTTGTGTATGTGAGTGTGTCATTGAATCAGGATGGGGCACAGTGGGAGTGGGGAGAGTCCGGCTGTTGCTGAAAGGTCTGGCCAGGTTGGACTCCATAGTCGTGGTTACTGTAGAGGGCGTTTCCCGCTGGGCCCTCCTATAACACGGCTGACCTCAATACTGAAGGCATGCCTCTGACCTCGAGAGACTTGAAGGTCTGAGCCGGCTTCAGATAAACACAATTTTGTACTTTATTTAACTGTTTTATTGTATAAATAATTATTTATGAAATATATACTGTAGAGAGGGTCAATATAGAATAGACTGTAGACACATACTCACAGTCATGACACAGCTTGACTTTGATAAAAACCTGCCTTCTATATATTGCTGTCATTCGTTATAATATTGATATGAATGTTCCCTAACAAATCACCATTACCCTTCCTCATGTCAAAGCAAGCCTTGTTCCAGCCAGAATGTCCCATATAGGGCAGGAGTCTAGCTTCTGTTTCTGTAATGTGAGGCAGCTTGATGATCAGGTATACCCTCTGGACAGGACACCAGTCTATCTCCTGTTTCTGTAACGTGAGGCAGCTTGATGATCAGGTATACCCTCTGGACAGGACACCAGTCTATCTCCTGTTTCTGTAACGTGAGGCAGCTTGATGATCAGGTATACCCTCTGGACAGGACACCAGTCTATCTCCTGTTTCTGTAACGTGAGGCAGCTTGATGATCAGGTATACCCTCTGGACAGGACACTAGTCTATCTCCTGTTTCTGTAACGTGAGGCAGCTTGATGATCAGGTATACCCTCTGAAATGGATGCTAGCCCTTTTCCTTATATCAGGGAAAGCCCATTGACTCACCGTGACACCATAGAAGTTGGTTTCGTTCATGACATCCAGCACCAGCCTGCCAACCTCCCGGTCGTCCACGGTGAAGTTGTGGTACATGTCCTGCCTCTCCTTGTGCTGCAGTAAGTCCATGACGCGGGTCAGGGTCTTAGCTATGACCCAGATCCCGTCGTAGGCGAAGCCGTGGTACTTTGAGGGCTCCACCCCCTTCTGCTGCAGCTCTTTACTGTACTCCCTCTCATACTCTTTAGGTGTCTGAATATAGGGAGAGAGAGGGCACAAGATCAGCTTTTTAGGTTGCCTCCCAAAATGCCACCCTATTCCCTACATAGTGCATTACTTTTCACCAGAGCCCTATGGAGGGAATAGGGTGCCATTTGGGACACATCCTTAAATAGAATGCTTTTCTTCTATCCACTATAGAGGACAATGACTCCTTTGGCTAAGAAGCAACAGGTACAAGCACTTCATCCATAACAGCCATCAACGTCCTAATTGCAGGACCTGGGAAGCTGCAGGGATAGTTATAATACTTATAGTCCTATACTGTAGATATAGGATCATAATTTGATCACCCTGTTGATACATTATGCTCCTCACCCCGCAGGCGCAAAACAGTTATACACTGTATCAAAATGCTTATCGGGAACACTCACCCTTCCAGAGATCCCCTTGACCTGTTTGGCGCTGAGCGGTTCAAAGTCCACAGCGATGTATCCCTCCATAGCGGTCAGCAGCTTCTTGGTGGTGCAGTTGGTGGAGTTGGCCTGCTCCCACCAGTTCCCCTGGTACCAGCCTGGTATAATCCACTGGTACTTACTACCATACATGTTCAGGTTGTACGCCTGGCGGAGGGATGTGTGGTTAACGCACACACATACAGGTGTGTCCATACAAACACACACCACATACAGTGCATGCAAACAACTACACACACGCACGCGCGCACACACACACACACACAAGCACCCACCTTGTACCTATTCTATGTCAAATAACAGTCTGCATTGACATTGTAATCTGTCTTAGACACATTGTTAATCATTACAGACAGGCATGTCAGTGGTATGATGTTCTGTAAGACACTGGTCACTGAGACAGTCATGTCAGTGGTATGATGTTCTGTAAGACACTGGTCACTGAGACAATCATGTCAGTGGTATGATGTTCTGTAAGACACTGGTCACTGAGACAATCATGTCAGTGGTATGATGTTCTGTAAGACACTGGTCACTGAGACAGTCATGTCAGTGGTATGATGTTCTGTAAGACACTGGTCACTGAGATATCAGTCAATAATGTCAATATGAATAGGATTTCAGATTTTACTGACATTCATAATGGTAGCTATGGATACTATACCATACATGGGAAACATCTGCAACACCCATAGGTTCAACAACTTGATGTGTGTGTGTGCATGTGTGCCTGCATGAGCGTGTGCGTGCGTGTGTGTGTGTGCGTGGGAGTGTGTGCCAGCATGCGTGCATTTGTGTGTGAGAGTGTGTGTGTGTATATTCAAACAATACTCACACAGCAGAATACTTTGGAGGCCAGGTTCTCATCAAACTGTCCGATAATGATCCTCACGTCATTATCCTAAAGAGAAGACATAACAGAAAGAAGGGTAAGCCTTCCGCTACAAGCAGCTAATCATTAGCAGCAATCACATCACAATAGTGCACTTTGCAATACATACATATTCTAGGCTCTGTGTGAAGACTCTATACTGTACAGTATGAGCTGTACTATGCAAATATCACCACATGAATTATAATAATATGCCATTTAGCAGACGCTTTTATCCAAAGCGACTTACAGTCATGTGTGCATACATTTTTACGTATGGGTGGTCCCGGGGATCGAACCCACTACCCTGGCGTTACAAGCGCCATGCTCTACCAATTGAGCTACAGAGGACCAAGGTAATAGCTGTCCTAGCGCGAGAATCTGGTCATTATTCTTCTCTGTAGCTCAGTTGGTAGAGCATGGCGCTTGCAATGCCAGGATAGTGGGTTCAATTCCCGGGACCACCCATACGCTGCATCCGTGGTGTTTCTTTGCTGGCTATAGGGCAGAGGATGCAATTTCAAGCCACAAAGTGTCAATCCATAACAACACAGCCATTAGTGTCAGCAGGGAGAATTGCTTCCTATCCACAGGGCCAGAGAGGAGAGATCTACATGGAATTTAGAGCACATGCTAGCATGATTGAGTCAGTAAATAGTTCACCACCTCCTCAAAGTAGTACGAGCTTTGAGTAGCGAGGATTTGAAGTCTGAGGTTCCCGGCTCTGCCTCTGACAAGAGCAATCTGTCTGTCACCACTCTGTATTGGTGGTTAACTGCATAGACCGCCCCAACCCATACAATCACACACAAACCATGTGATTAAATTTTGAAACAGGAAGGCCCTGTCATAGGAAGTGCATTATGTAGGGAACAGTTAATATCTGTCCTGTAATGCAACAAACAATCTTTCTCTGAATTTTTTTCTCCCAAATTTCAATCTTGTCTCATCATTGCAACTCCCCAACGGGCCCATGAGGCGAAGGTCAAGTCATGCGTCCTCTGAAACATGACCAACCAAACCGTGCTTCTTAACACTCGCCCGCTTAACCTGGAAGCCAGCCGCACCAATGTATCGGAGCAAACACCGGTCAACTGACAACCAAGGTCAGCCTGCAGGCACCCGGCCCACCACAAGGAGTTGCTAGAGCGTGATGAGCCAAGTAAAGCCCCCGAGGACAAACCCTCACGACGCTGGGCCAATTGTGCGCCGCACTATGGGACTCCAGTTCACGGAATCAAACCCGGGTCTGTAGTGACACCTCTAGCAATGTGATGCAGTGCCTTAGACTGCTGCGCCATTCGGGAGGCCCGTGGTGTGTTTTTTTGATAACATTTTGTATAGATCTTTCTATACAGTTCAAAGCATTTCCAATGCTGCTTGCTATGGGTATTCCATTGACTGAGTGAAATGTAGCTAGTGGGTAGGCTACCATATTGGACATGAATCAATTTGGTCAAAAAACGTTCACTTCCCATCGCACTTTGATTACTATCGCTTCCTAAAAGTCCATAATTGCTGTGACGCAATACTGTATATACAGTATATATACACTACCGGTCAAAAGTTTTAGAACACCTACTCATTCAAGGGTTTTTATTTATTTTTACTATTTTCTACATTGTAGAATAATAGTGAAGACATCAAAACTATGATATAACACATTTGGAATCATGTAGTAACCAAAGAAGTGTTAAACAAATCAAAATATATTTTATATTTCAGATTCTTCAAATAGCCACCCTTTGCCCTTTGCACACTCTTGGCATTCTCTCAACCAACTTCATGAGGTAGTCACCTGGAATGCATTTCAATTAACAGGTGTGCCTTCTTAAAAGTTAATTTGTGGAATTTCTTTCCTTCTTAATGCGTTTGAGCCAATCAGTTGTGTTGTGACAAGGTAGCCCCCCAGAAGATAGCCCTATTTGGTAAAAGACCAAGTCCATATTATGGCAAGAACAGCTCAAATAAGCAAAGAGAAACAACAGTCCATCATTACTTTAAGACATGAAGGTCAGTCAATACGGAACATTTCAATAACTTTTAATGTTACTTCAAGTGCAGTCGCAAAAACCATCAAGCGCTATGATGGAACTAGTTCTCATGAGGACCGCCACAGGAATGGAAGACCCAGAGTTACCTCTGCTGTAAGTTCATTAGGAGTTACCAGCCTCAAAAATTGCAGCCCAAATAAAGGACACCAATAAGAAGAAGAGACTTGCTTGGGCCAAGAAACACGAGCAATGGACATTAGACCTGTGGAAATTTGGAGTCCAAATTGGAGATTTTTGGTTCCAGCCGTCGTGTCTTTGTGAGATGCGGTGTGGGTGAACGGATGATCTCCACATATGTATTTCCCACCGTAAAGCATGGAGGAGGAGGTGTTATGGTGTGGGGGTGAAGAGGCGACTCCGGGATGCTGACCTTCTAGGCAGAGTTGCAAAGAAAAAGCTATATCTCAGACTGCCCATCTTAATCTTTTCTTTTTATTGGCCAGTCTGATATATAGCTTTTTCGTTGCAACTCTGCCTAGAAGGTCAGCATCCCGGAGTCGCCTCGTCACTGTTGACGTTGAGACTGGTGTTTTGCGGGTACTATTTAATGAAGCTGCCAGTTGAGGACCTGTGAGGTGCCTGTTTCTCAAACTAGACACTCTAATGTATTTGTCCTCTTGCTCAGTTGTGCACCGGGGCCTCCCACTCCTCTTTCTATTCTGGTTAGAGCCAGTTTGCACTGTTCTGTGAAGGGAGTAGTACACAGCTTTGTACGATATCTTCAGTTTCTTGGCAATTTCTCGCATGGAATAGCCTTCATTTCTCAGAACAAGAATAGACTGACGAGTTTCAGAAGAAAGTGATTTGTTCTGGCCTGTAATCAAACCCACAATTGCTGATGCTCCAGATATTCAACTAGAAGGCCAGTTTTATTGCTTCTTTAGTCAGCACAACAGTTTTCAGCTGTGCTAACATAATTGCAAAAGGGTTTTCTAATGATTAATTAGCCTTTTAAAATGATAAACTTGGATTAGCAAACACAACGTGCCTTTGGAACACAGGACTGATGGTTGCTGATAATGGGCCTCTGTACGCCTATGTAGATACAGTGGGGAAAAAAGGATTTAGTCAGCCACCAATTGTGCAAGTTCTCCCACTTAAAAAGATGAGAGAGGCCTGTAATTTTCATCATAGGTACACGTCAACTATGACAGACAAAATGAGGAAAAAAAATCCAGAAAATCACATTGTAGGATTTTCAATGAATTTATTTGCAAATTATGGTGGAAAATAAGTATTTGGTCAATAACAAAAGTTTCTCAATACTTTGTTATATACCCTTTGTTGGCAATGACACAGGTCAAATATTTTCTGTAAGTCTTCACAAGGTTTTCACACACTGTTGCTGGTATTTTGGCCCATTCCTCCATGCAGATCTCCTCTAGAGCAGTGATGTTTTGGGGCTGTTGCTGGGCAACACAGACTTTCAACTCCCTCCAAAGATTTTCTATGGGGTTGGGATCTGGAGACTGGCTAGGCCACTCCAGGACCTTGAAATGCTTCTTACAAAGCCACTCCTTCATTGCCCGGGCGGTGTGTTTGGGATCATTGTCATGCTGAAAGACCCAGCCACGTTTCATCTTTAATGCCCTTGATGATGGAAGGAGGTTTTCACTCAAAATCTCACGATTCATTCTTTCCTTTACACGGATCAGTCGTCCTGGTCCCTTTGCAGAAAAACAGCCCCAAAGCATGATGTTTCCACCCCCATGCTTCACAGTAGGTATGGTGTTCTTTGGATGCAACTCAGCATTCTTTGTCCTCCAAACACGACAAGTTGAGTTTTTACCAAAAAGTTCTATTTTGGTTTCATCTGACTTTCTCCCAATCCTCTTCTGGATCATCCAAATGCACTCTAGCAAACTTCAGACGGGCCTGGACATGTACTGGCTTAAGCAGGGGGACACGTCTGGCACTGCAGGATTTGAGTCCCTGGCGGCGTAGTGTATTACTGATGGTAGGCTTTGTTACTTTGGTCCCAGCTCTCTGCAGGTCATTCACTAGGTCCCCCCGTGTGGTTCTGGGATTTTTGCTCACCGTTCTTGTGATCATTTTGACCCCACGGGGTGAGATCTTGCGTGGAGCCCCAGATCGAGGGAGATTATCAGTGGTCTTGTATGTCTTCCATTTCCTAATAATTGCTCCCACAGTTGATTTCTTCA